TTTTTTTTTTATCTCGCTGGATTTTGAACGTGTATGCAGAATGCTAAATCAGATTACTGGAAGGTGTAACAATGAGGTGAAAAAAAACGATGTATTTTTTTATTTTTTGAGCGCCACTGGGGGTATTTACTTTATAATTGGTTTTGTTGATACGATTATTTGAAGCACCGTTGCAGTTCTTATGAATTATTTGATCAATAGTAATTTTGCAAGTAAAACAGTACATGGCAGATGAAAAATTTTTGGCAGAAGAAGCTAACTGCCTGTAAATGTTTTTTACAACCTAACTAATCATTCCTATTTTCTTTACGACGCTTAAAACAAAAAAAGCTTTTTTATCGGAAAGGAAGAGAAAGAAACGATTTTTTTTCTGCAGAGAAAAGTACTAATTAATATAGTCTTGAACTGTTGATGATCCTTGAAGTACAGTAAGTATGTGGCTTTTAACTCCTTACTTTTATTTTGTAATGTCGTCTTTTTGTTCGCCCTTTCCAGTCTATGAAGACGCGGGGAAGAAAGATGATATAATGATATAGGGGGGGGAGGGGGGGGGGAAAAAAATTTCACTGCCGTTGCTGCAGGTAACTGTATCATCTGTTAGGGGCAACCGTCAAAATGAAGTTTCTGCTTGCCATCAACAATCTGAAACGCTTAAAAAGTCATTGTTGGGTTCAGTTGACAAAGTAGCGCCTTTTTTTGATAATTTTTCAATATACTATGGAAAGAATTTGGGATTTCCCACCTGGTTTAACGTACTTCAATTGAAAGTGGGTAAGCAGTAACTTCAAAAAGTGCTCTTGCAGCCAATCGACATGTGTCATTCTCCGAGTGTAAAACTCATTGCAGAAATAAGAGCGATATTTCTTGAAAAATACCTGGGAACATCTCTCCTCATGCACCGTTTTTTTATGCATTTAGAAAGAAGAACCATTTTGGAAAATACATGCCTTTAGAAAAGATATTTAAATGGGTCCATCCATTCTGCGTGAAGAAGAAAGCGTTCTCCATTAGCCTAAATTCGTCTTTGTGCAAATCTTTGTAATATTAGCACCTTTTGTTTGGCAGGATCATGTGATCAACTCGCTTTTTCTAATTGTTCCTCCCATAAAACTTACAGCGAGAAACCGCTATAGAGTTCAGGTTCTTGTTGTTCATCTTACTCACTTCGTACAGTTGTCATCAAAGATTCCTATTTTTCACTGAAAACAAAAAGGGCTGAGTTGAGAAGAAGAAGAAAGAATAAAGAAAAAATTTGTTCCCAGCAATTATAAACAACCTCTTTTGTTAACATTAGTATTTCTAAAGTTTTGAATGGTTTCAATGGTATTAACTAAAATCATTTATAGGCCACTAAATTACTTTATAAGCGAATTCAAAATTAAGCTTCTAGCAGTTAGTAACGAAAAGATTACTCTGCTACTTGACCATGTTCTTCTCGAATTTGAGCC